CCCAGACAAGTGATTGATTTAGATAATACAATAAAAAAAGATTTCGACATATACATTCAAATATGTAAAATATACGGAGACAGAGAGAAAAATCTCTCTGATGGAGATACATACGCATCTACATATGTACCTGCTAAATTTAATTTTTCAGCCGTGTATTCATAGCTTCGTTCATACTAGATACGCACATAAATAGTAACATATACAACGTTATATCCATCATGTTTTCATTTCTTTTATGTATAAAATAATGTTTATTCTCCCAAAAAATAAATAAATACGTTATGCACAATAAAAGCCGAAGAATGCCAAGAATTTATTTGATCGCAAACAAAAGTTTATATACACTTTATGAGGTTACAAAATTAGTGCCACAATTCTCATACGTTACATACCACCAGCGGCGCTGTTAGGTGACCTAGGTGACGAAGCTGCGAGCTGTGATGCAGCATTATTTACATATTTTCCAACCCTTTCCGCACCTTTCCGTCATTCATCCACAAATACATCCGAGAAACATGATGCGTGCGCAAAGTCCCTCCACAGTCCATGGGTTCGTGACGTGCGCGGTGGCGCACGATTCGCCGGTTTCAGAGTATCATACAGGAACGTATTCAATTAGACTAAACTCAGCTTCTTTTTCTTTCAAAGGAAAATCATAATAAATCATCACTGCACTATTCATATTTAAATTTATAATTTATAATTTGTTGTTTCAATCATCTGATTGCCAGTTGTAAAATGATGTGCTGTACATTCGTCATCATTATAACACGATAGCGCGGAAAGAAATCCGCTCTTCGATGCATCCGATATTTCTAAACAATGACATTTCTTTAATTATGAAAGAATATTAGTTATCGACCTATTGTAACATTGTTTCACGAATTTTTTGTTTCTAACAGCATTCAATTATCACTGATACGTGAAACAGATGATACAAAGTACGTACAATTTGATGGGAAATGATATTGGAAATTGGTGGACTTTCCGTGAAGATTGTAGGCGGCGGGGGTTTCTCGAAAAATCGACACGATCCTGAGGATAATGCTTCCCCCCTCCTCGCTACTCGATTGCCGCACACTCAACAGATTGAGGTGTGGCCATCGAAGGCAGCCATCTTCTTGACTTTCTGTCGTTTAACATTTCAGGTAAATACGTAATTATTTTCTTAAGTAATACTGGTTGGAGTGGTGCGAGAGTGTGTTGTGCTGTGTGTCCGGGTGGTTAAAGCGTGCCGCATAATCGATTTTGTTAACGGCTCAAAATGGGAACTCTGTGTGTCAAGAAGGGAAAAAACCTCTCCTCCTCTCTCGTGAATATAGAGTGAGGGCCGAGGGAGTGCCATGCGTTACAAATCCACAGTATTTTCATACGACAACCGTTTAGCTCAACGTGGATGAGTTCGATCGTTGATTTTGGGGTCGAAAACTTTGCATCAGTTTCGAAGCAGGAACCGGGCTTTAGTTCAATATGTAAATCGTCTCCCAGGCTCTAGACCTCTGCGTCGCTATCCTGTCGCACCCTCAGCGCCCCCATCCTCCCCTCTTGGTCCCGTCACCCCTCACCCCGTTACGCGGCAATGCACTTCCGGCTGTGCGAAATTCGGCAAAAAGCTCCTGCCCGGATTCCTGTTTGAAGAGTCGACTAAAAGAAATCTGTGTCACGGGTTCGTCTTGACGTTACTCTTCGTTGTACGTTGTTTATCCCGTTGGTACCAACGTATAGGATCGACGATAAACAAAAGTTTGGTACGTTTTCCGTTTCGGTGGAAATTCACGTTTCCACAGATTCCGAAGTATGTAGATATTCCTTTTTATTTTACGTCTCGTTTTGTTATCCTCCAGATGATTTCATCGGAGTTTCCGCTCGCTAATAAAAATATCAAGCTACTATACACGTTAATCTTCGTAACAATTGACCTCTATATGGTTTAGATATTGTACCCATAAGATTAAACTATTTCTAACGTTTTAACTTAACGCAAATTGTAAAAAGTTGTTTATTTGTTTAAATAGTTTTGTCTGTGATGTATGGATATTAAGGTAAAACAACATTACATATTTGTAGGATCGTCATATTTTTAGACACAGTAAAACATGCAAAGTATGAAAGTTTATCAAAATTTTGTTGCCTTAACATTAACATGTAACCATTTCTTACTTCATTGACACACAGTCTTCTATTAATTTGCATTGCTTTCATGTATTAGATCATATTTTGATGCTAAAAGCCTTTGCTTCTATGTAAAATCCTATTAAAAGTGCTTTCAACTTCTTTTATACAGAACAATAACTAGTCAGAAAGAATATGTTAGGAATAAATTGGTGTTTTGCTTTTTGATCTATACAAAAGATTCTGAGCTAGAAGTAGCCTTTGTGTATTAATAACAGCAATTATGCGTAAAATATTTTAAGGTAACAAGTATTACAGCATATATATATATATATATATAATTTAAATATTCAATATGAATACTACATACGTTAAAAAATCTGAATATATACATATGTTTATCTTCTTTCCACGCAATTGTTTTTGGGTAAACATGAAATAACTGAAATTTTGTCAAGTATCTGTGTGCAATGTGAATGTATTGCATATTTTATTTCGTTTATGCCTTTCATACATAATTCTTTGTGTGTACACATTCGTTTTAATAGTGCATGTTTAATACAAAGAAATATTAACCTTATGTGTTTCTGCATGTTATTTCGAAACATCGTTGTAAAGCATAAGGTATTGTCTTCTATATATATAGGAATCTTGGTAACGAGCAATTGAGTAACGTGCACAGTAAATCTCTTTTTACATGCTTCCTTATGATTGTTAAGGCTCTACCTTATGCACTTCGATTCAGGAATCTTTGATCTAAATGTGTACACGAGGTCATTACGATAACATTATGATAACATTAAATTCATATATTTAGTCTTTGGCATTCTTGCAAGGCATTAATAGTATATATATTTTCACACATATATCGGCAGGAAAGAGTTATGAATCAGAATTTGCAGACATTATTCAGTGATTTACGAATTGTATTGCTTTTACAAGTATTTAAGTATATAATTGTAA